GTGTCTGACTCAACGTCTCACCACCTTCGTCGACGATGCGAACGACAGCGACTCAATGATTAAATCCACAGACTGAGACCCGTGGACTGCAAATAATGTCAAATAATACCGGCTAATGTCGCACCGCTGATGTCTATGCTTTCACGTGCCGAACATTTTAATTCTTCGGCGAATTCTCAAACCGCACACTGCCCCCATTTTTTAAGTAAAAAAAACCTCCTCCGTATCCCCTCGCCGTCGCGAACACTGAACGTTCGCGAGACGTCGGGGTTGTAGTTTGCGAGTCTCTCTATTTTCGTTGGGAGATACGGCCGCGGCAGGGTTTACTTTACGAATGCTGATGATGGAAAAAAATGTGTTTAACAAACGAACGCAAAAAAATGTTGACAAATGTCCAAAAGGACTGGGATATAACCCAAACCAGACCTCCCAGCTTCTTATAATGAACATGAGAGGGTTACTTTTTTTTCTTTACAAAATGAAGACATGTGAATTTATGGATACATACCGTACAATGCAACAGTTACATGCAAATAAACATGAACACATTCCATTTACGTTATGTACGGAGAGGGGAAGTGCGAATAGCGAGATCACATTAAATCCAGCATGGCACGTGGCAAGGCAGAAAATGGCTACAACTACTACATGCCCAGCCGCCTTTGTCTCCCCAGAGCCGATGTTGATTCTAATCTAAATGCCAATGACGGAGTCTGCTGCTGGCCACGAGGAGAGAGCTTCAGCAGAGAGAGAGAGAAAGTTCGTGCCGTTCTGCTGTTCTTCCTCCTCTTTTGTTGAAGGAATGCAGACCACAGTGATTTACCATGGATCCATATTGTGGCTTGCATGGCCACAATCAGCGACATGCAGATGTGAATGGCCACAGCAACAACACAATTCCACACACTCGTTTTAAGCTCAGCTGACTCGGATTTGGCCCACACCAAGTCTGTAGACTGATTGGCTGCTGATGATGATGAGCATCAGAACTGGGAGTCGAACACAGACTGCAGAGTGTGTGTGGATAGACACACAACAACAACACAACAACAACCGCCGTTCGCCACCAAGTGGCAGTGACGTCACCGCAGCGCTTGTGCCAGGCTAGGTACACTTTGAGGCCACGTGAAGTGTGTAAGGCTCCTTGACAGGAGTTCACGGGACAGACACCAAGGACAAAGACGAGCATACATAGAGACAAACATACCCTGAGAGCACATACTCAACACAGCACGTGAGTCTGCGTGCCCGATGACAGATGTATTTCTTGTGGGTGCAGTGGTTTACTGAATAACGATGCAATATAGTTCAGTAACCTGCCATTGTAATGTGGAATTAACACCGGTGACCTATGGCTGAGCAATGCCCTGAACTGATAAGAGCAGTCAGGACACTTTAAGACTTTAAATTTTCAGCCTGTTATGCAAGGAGGTCGTGGGTTCGATCCCGACCCTGACGCCTGCTGCTGTATATTTGGAGTTTGAATATCTCTCACTCCCCTTGTCACGGTTTTCCCCTCCACATTTAGAATCAACGTGCATTTAGAGTATTTGGCTGCTATAAATGTCCACATGCTAAGCCACTTCGTTGAGTTATCATTTGTGGCCAGGTCGCTTCTGATAAAGAGCTATACAGCTCAGTGGGCCTTACCTGGTAAAATAAAAAAACGCTCAGTTTATTATGTACAGATCATTACACAGAGGTGACATCTCAAGAGCCGAAATAAGCCAAATTTAAATGCCAAACTGAATTTTAAAAAATGCTGCAGTCATTGGTGAGCAGGCTAATACCATCTAACCGCTACAAAAGTTTAAGTTAATGCCAATAAGAATACTCTATAACTCACAGTGTGTAATACTAATTATAACAATGTACAATCTATTGCCGAAATAAAGGCCTCCCCACAATCTGTGAGTAGTTGCGGGGGTTGTTTGACCATACTTCACCACGCTGGTTTGTGCGGGTTGACGAAGCAGAGATGGGAGGGAGGGCCGGCATCGGATCCGATGCCACTCGAAGTGCTCATGTCACAGATGTAACCCCACGTGCTCACGCAGAACCATAACGGGCTTCACACTATCCGTCCAGATGGGTCTGTAACACTCATCCCGCAGTCAAAAGGTTGTAAGTTCAGATCCCAGTTTGGGTGGACTCACCATCGCCATTATCGTCCATTCAGGGTCATAATCAGAACCACGATGTGATGATAAGTCTGGACACACGGGTCCCCTCCATAGGAATGTGGAATTTCCACCACAGGGTTCAGGGCCACAAATGTAAAATGGGTGTGGCTCCCCGTTCTCATTTGACGAGGGAGAAACGTTAACCGTGGCGCGTGGTGGTTACGTGTTAAACTCTTACGAGAAAACTGCATCTACGCTGAATTTGAAATGTAATTCTCCTTCAAGTTGCCCTTCTGCTGCCACACATAAAAGTGTCCCAGGGGCAGTGCTCATCTCCACTGGTGGCCCTGAACCAGCGGAGGAAATTCCACATTCTCAGTGTGGGGTTCAGTCTCTCCATGAAATAAACACCGTTGGCTTTCCGCACAGCGGTACCCAATTTTATTTACTTCAGAAATAATGGGCTGTTGGCTAAGATACACTGACACATAATGGCTTATTCTTGGAAATTAATGAGCTTGACGATGATGGTGGTGATGAAGATGTCATGGAAATTTTCAACGTCTACATTACAACAGACGGAGGAGCACTTGGGTAATCTCGCTGCTTTTAGTGGGGATCGAACCTTCAACTCGACAAACAGCACTCTGAACAATGAGATAATCTCAGAAGCAACGGATACGTTGACTATATATATATCCTGTGCAGTGTACAGTACAGCTACTATCCATAATCAGCAAAAACTAATTTTATATTTTTTATTATGTTTGAAACTTGTAACGCGCTGCCGCTGGAAGGCAGCCCACGCGATGAGCCTGCGCTGCAAAATTCCCAAAGCTCTGTGGTCCTCTACATATTAAGATGTTATCGGCTAATTAATGACCGTTTACATGTGGGAGGAAACCGGAGCAATCGGAGAAAACCCGCACGTGCGAGGGAGAAACACTCTATCCCCATACAGACGGAACAGATGGAGTCCACATTTTTGCGATACCGCCTTCTCCTGGCGAGCCAGGGTACGGCTCCACCTCGATGCCCACGGAAAGGAAGTTTCACAACATTCTGTGATCCATATTCTTTGGGTATTTCGGCAAAGTCACGTAGATAGGTTCAAAGAAAATAGCAAAAAACTACGACGTTTCGATCGCAACACAAGCGATCGTCATCAGGAAAACGTATCTTCGTTGAACCTATCTACGTGACTTTACTGAAAGACCCAAAGAATATGAATTCCTGCAGTTACGAAAGCTTTAAGTCAAGATTATGTGATCCGCCAACCCTCGCTGCTACCTCCACGGTGCTGGATTACAGGCCACGCGCATAGCCAGCCACCAACGGGCAGCTAAAAAAAATCTACGACGTTACTTTAGAGCATTCTCCCAATAACCGGTTTGTACGGACGCTAAAGTTCGAGTCCTGGCACGGGGCATTTGATAATTTCTGGGGTGAGTGACGGTGACTACGAGTTCAAATCTTTTGTTGGTTTTCCACTCAGCCCATCATCATGATCATTCCTGTCCAGGGTGGCTAAATAGCTAGCGCCACTTTGTCAACTTCTGATCCTGCCATGGATTGGGCCGGTTTTTAGCTGCGGAAATGTGAAATGAATTTCCACCAATGGCCCAATCGCTGCCAATGCGATGCGAGTGCCATCCCAAGTGCGGCTATGAGCGGGAAGTCGCGCTGAGCTATTATAACAATGAAAGTGGCAAGCCTGCTTTGTAATCGAGATCGCGATTCGCGTTGCGCACACCCCAATCAACAACAACAAGCAGGCAATTGTTTGCAGCCAACCGCGAGCGTGCGTGAGTGTCGGTGCGCTAATTACGCGCAAAGGTCGTGCAGTTGGGGTTAGCGCACTGCGTCAATAAGCCTGCCACCCGAGTTCGATACCCGCTCACGCCCTAAAAAAGGTGCGCGAATATTTGAACCGGTATCCGTGCCTCCCCTAGGTCGACTCAGCCTTAGATTAGCAGCTGGTGTGGTGTGTAAACATCAGCACTGGGGGAGACAAAGGCGGTCGGGCGTGGTGCTGGCCACCCACCCCATCGTGGGTCGTGCCGGCCTTCACAGGTAACAGCACTTGCCCCAACGATCTGTGAAAGGCTATACGGAGGATATTTGTCTTTGTTGGTGTGCTAATGCCTCACGCCGCACTGCAATCCCTGCCACCCAATAGCCACCACCTGAGCCTGGCATGGCCCTCCCCTAGATCAACTCTGCCTAAAACGAACACAGCACCTGACGTGTTGGCGGTGGTGATACTGGTGGTGGTGATGGTGCTGCTGATGGCGATGGTGATTGTGTTGGCAGTGTTGCTGGTGGTGGTGATGGTGGTGCTGAGTGCGTTGGCAGGTTGGCCGCATCGCCAATGCGTGAGAGATGATGAGAACGTGGCTCGGTGTGCGGTGGCATTGGCCTAACCTCACTCGGCCCTCCCCGTGTTCTCCGCAATGGTCTCAATAGGTACTCACTAACAGCACTTGCGCCAACAGTCTACTGGAGTATAAGAATTGTAAATCTCTGAGATGGTGGTGTCTGTGTGCATGCGCGGTGTGTGTATAGGTGCGTGTGTGTGTGCGTTATAATGGAGCGGTAGTGAAGTGGTTAGCGCACAGCGACCTAAGTTCGATTACTGCTCACGACCAATACTATAGCGAGGATTTTCTGAATCTCTCCTGGGCCTCACCTAGGTCGACTCAGCCTGAAAATGTGTACCTGGCACGGGAGGCAAAGGCAGCCGGGCGTGTATCGCTGGCCACCCACCCCGTCGCGTGCAAATTCAGGGTGGGTGGGTGATTGCTGGCAGCACTTGCCCCAACAGCATGTTCGGGCTCTAGGGGTGTGTGCGTGTGTGTGGGTGCGTTAGTAACTCACCTGCACTGACGATTGCACCTCCATGAATGGAGAGAGTGAGGAGCAGTGTAAACACCAGCGAAGCACGAGGCCACCGGCTATGATCCATGCCCTCCCCCCCCGGCTCTTAGCGCCTCTCCTTTCAATAAAAAAATGTTTGGGCTCAAGCGATTGCACGCGGCCCCAGTATATTTTAGCAAAAAAAAAGCCAAGAAGGAGATGTAAAAACTAAAAGAGAGATTCTTGGCACCATACGCCGCCGTCAACTTACAAAACAACCTAGACACGGGCACCTTCGCGTCAATCCGTGATAGGAGTGGGGGGGGGGGTGTCACACGTTGACAAGCCCCAGCACGTGTGGGAGAACGAAGAAGGCACCCAGCGTCACGCACGCACTCGCTCGCTCTTCAGCTCTTTCGTTAGTGCGGGGTTCCAAAAGTCGAGAAATTTGACGCGTAAACTTTCGTGTCGTTTTGTTTTGTGGTTGGTTTTTTTTTTCCTGTGCGTGGTGTTTGTTCCCGCTAAGCCATTTGGAGAGCCCCTCTCGCCTCTAGCGCAGTTCCCTTCTCTTGCCACTTCGCTCTCTCGAATGCGTCCGACCCGCCCTCGGATCTTAAAGTCCCCCCCTTTCACGGCGCCGTTATCCCAAAATCTTGGAAGCACTCCAATGAGGGCTTGCGAGTAGTGGATAAGGGGCTTGGCTTTATACTTTGTCTCCGCCCAGTTTATACTCCAGGGAGGAGCGAGATGTGAACCACTTGGGAACCCTGAATTGCGGGGTGCCACCCCCACCCAAATATCTGACGCACACTGACACCCAGTCCCCATCGCGAACCGGCCTGGGACACCGTAGGCGTGAACAAACCGACGCTCGCTCGAATTCAAAATATCCACCGCGTGTCATCGGCCGACCAAGAGAATGCTTGAGGCTCCTGCCAAAGGAATGAGGAATTTCCGCCCACTGGCTCAGGTCTGCGAGACGATATGGGTGCTGCCCGAATGCTCGTCTTAAGGGGGTAGAATGAGTGAATTGCATGCTCAGGAGGTACCGTCACACGACGCTTGGGAAATGCACGAGTCTAAATCCTGGTCAGGGGTAAAATTGAGTAATCATCATCGTGATACATGAAAGAAAAAAATAACACCAACTTGTTTGGGTAGTCAACAGTGGCTGTCCAAACAAAGAGACAGGCCCCAGCATAGGAATGTGGAATTTGCACGACCCGCTTCAGAGCTGCCACCAGTGCGGATGAGTTCTGCCGCACGCCCGTTTCAGGACGAGACTCTTGACTCGGATTAGAACAAAGCCACGTGTCCGTTTGTGCGAATGCGCGCGCTCACGAGAAGGAGGGAAGCTGCGGTAACAAGGCGAGCGAGCTGGCACAGCGGGGAGCGGCTGGTACATCTGCCGCTCACCCCTGGTCCGTTAACCCAGACCATCTGGCTTTGGCTCTGTGACTTCTTGCACAATTGCCATCCATCACTTCATGTGGCCTTGAAGTCCACCTTGCCGGGCACAATCGGCTCTTGCGTCGAAAATTGCGGTTACCGCTGCTGTGTGAATGGTGCAGTCTGCCTTATTCACGGCGGCATGTATGTTGCACTTCTTTTGCACTGTACGTAGCCAGCCGTGATCATCTCGTTTTTAAACAAAAGCACTTTGATTCATAATACATATTTTGGGTCACTAATTTCTTTAGAACTGCTTTTTGTGTTTAGTTTGTTGTCCTTCCCGCGCACCTCCAATTAGCACGGGTTGGCTACGTGCTAAAGAAGTTCAACGTACACACATGCATACGTGTCATGCACCCTCCGCCACCCGACACAGCCTAATTGTATGTATCTTTTTGGTTCTTTTGGTAAAGTCACGTAGAAGGGAAATAATAAAATAATAAAAATAAAACATAATAACATAAAATAAATCTCACGACGTTTCGGCCATTATTTCCCTTCTACGTGACTTTACCGCAAGAACCAAGAAGATGAATCCCTGCAGTCACGAAAGATTTAAATCGAAATTTAATTGTATGTATGTAAACTTCTTTTGCAACGTACGTAGCCAACCGTGCTAATCGGAGGTGCGGGGGATGGGACGTCAATGAATGAAGTCGTCACGTGACACGAATGTGTGCAGAATGTATCACCGCCAGAGAGAGCGACCCGCACGCACGATGAGCAGTCGGGTACGGAAGTTCCTCGGGCAGTTACAGGCAGCATCCTCAAGCAGTTTCCAGCGTTGTGACACTGTTCTGCGGGCACACATTTTGCCCACGCGATCTGCGCCAAAAGTGAATTACGAATCGTAATATTGGTCTCGGAAGCCCACTTACCAAGAACGACGTCTCCGTGTTGAATTTACGAACACTTGGAAAGTCGTATCGTAAACAGCGGGGTGTTCATCATGCTGCATAGCTACCCGCGTCGTCTTCACGAACGCCTGCCACGTGCGTTTGCGATTTGGTTGCTAAACGTTGCCTACACCTGAAGCGGAGTTTAAAAAAAAAAAAGCTCCAGCACAGCTGATCTCTTTCCAAAGAAAACAGCAGGGAACGAACCCACGAGGATTTTCAAAAGCACCAGGGTGGGATTTTCATTTTAGCGATTCGCTCATAAAAATAACAAACTATTTTGTTTTAAACACAGGGCGCTTTTGCAGTGACTCAGAGAAATCGGACACAAAAATGACATTCTGCTGCTGCTGCTCTCTCTCTCTCTGCGGTTCCGCGTGCAATACTTCAAACCATTCACAACGTTTGCTCCTACCCATCCCTCCCCCCAGCAAAGTAGCCGGCTGTGTTTTCGGTTAACGACTCGGACGTGATATTGTTCAGCAAGTGTAGCTTACAAAGGGGCCCAGACTGTGGAATTTAGCGGCAAATTTGAGGTCCTCTGAGTGGCCCGCCGGGAATTCCTCCTCTCAGCAGACTTATCAAATAAATGACTGGAAAATGTGATATGACATTTCCAGCCACGTGTCTCATTCATTTTCCACTTGCATGGACAACTCTTGACGGTCACCCGAAACGGAGTTCTATGCTTAATGTTGTGTCATCTGATCCCCAGATCTTCCTTGAACCTGGTCCGGCCTTCCTGTAGGTCGGCTCGGCCTAAACATGAATTGTGCGCATGCGTACGGGGACGGTCACGTGGCCCTAGCGGTAGGACGTTCGCCGTTTGATGAAGAGGCTGGCAGTTCGAATCCAGCAGGCAGCCCTGGTTATTACTGTGGGCGCGTTCAACATAAAATCCGCACCGTCTGCTTCACAGTGGACGTTAAAGATCCCCTGACATCATTCATGTGATGTGACAGTTAAAATATAAAAAGTATGTTGAATGGAAAAAAGGATATTAAATATATGTAACAGGCGACGTTTCAGGCGATGGCCCTTCTTCATGTATTCATGTGCTATGAAGAAGGCTCATTGCCCGAAACGTGGCCTATTTCTATATAAATGTTGAGGAAACACAACGTTGTTCTTGACGATTGTGTGCACGTTGAATTTCTTTCACACCGTACCTAGCCAGCCGTGATAATCGGAGGTGCGGGGGAAGGACAGCACGTTGCAGTCAGTTTCGACGTTCCGTAGCTTTACCTTGCTCAGGGATTCGTGTCAAGTAAAACCATCGCCAATAAAAAAAAAACTTCGCCGTGCCTCTCGTCCGCATTGCATCTCCACAAGGCTGGGGGGGGGGGCGGGATATGGGGTTATCAACCCCCGCAAGGAGGCACGTACGTGCCGTCTCGCCTTCATCAATGCCTCCGCTACTTTCGTGACCCAAATCGAAAACCAGCGCTTAAAGCAACGCGACAGCCCAGCGGGAAGGTGGCGAATGAATCTTCGGCAAGCGCGTGGGGAACGCACCCACGGCATCATCACTGAACGCTCTGCGCTGAAACGGAGAGCCAGAGGACCGCTTCGGTGATGACATCGCGCGGCGCTTTCAGATGCGCTTCTGCGGCCGTCTGGAACGCTCTCTTTCTTCCGATATTAGGAAGATACTGGGAGCTATGCATTTGTAAATAATCGAGATTGAAAACTAATTTCTTGAGAACTTTTTTTATGTTTTAGTTTGCTGTCCTTCATCCGCACATCTGATTAGCACGGTTGGCTACGTACGGTGCGAAAGAAGTTCAACATAATACGCACATGAGGTGCGCTAACATGTTTTGCATGAACGTGTAAAGATTTCTTGTTCTCAAGCTGCCTGCAGGGAGTCTCTAAGTGTCTGTCCAATACAGATGTTAAACGTCCTTCCCAGAGCCGAGCAATCATAATGAGTTTTCCATGTTAAACGTTTTAAAAGCTGCCCGTGAATTAGATTTGCATGTGTTCCACAAATCCTGTTTCTTAATATTTACAAACACGTTTCCTTTGGAGTTAAACCATCCGTAGACAAATATCCCCGTATAACCTATAACAGACTGTTGGGGCAAGTGCTGTTTGCGAGCACCTATGAAGGCCAGCACGGCACACGAGGGGGGAGGGTGGCCAGCACCACGCCCGACCGCCTTTGTCTCCCCGGTGACGATGTTTACACACCGCCACCAGGTACTCACTTGAGGCTGAGTCGACCTAGGGGAGGCCCATAATCGGTTCAGATAATCGTCACTGGGTGTTGGCCATGGGCAGCAAACGAACTCGGGTCGCCGGGTTCACAGCGCAGCACAGCGCTAACCACGGCACTACCGTTCCCCACAAGCACACACCGTGTCAGGCGCGAGGGTTGTTTGACCATACTTCACCACGCTGGTGAGCGACTGTTGGTGAAGGCGGTGAGGCTCGGTGCAGGGTTCAGGAATCCGCCCGCTCCGCCTGTGGTGTTTGCCGTGACAAAGGCGTCGAACTCGGGTCGCCGGCTTCACAGCGCGGTCTGTAACACGGACAACGTGAAACACGGCTATTTGAAGACAACGTGACCTCGTGCTCCACTGAGCAATTGGGTAGCCCTGCAAAGTGGTACTAAATTTGGTTTAACACCCAGGAACAAAATAAGTGAACTTCTCCACAAATCTGGCTGTAGCCTGATGAAGCTAGTTGCAATTACTGGTGAAACGTCGTACTCAGATTGCAAATGTTGTGGCTTGGCTCTCCAACACACCGGTGTGCTGTATTGGTGACGAATTGGCCACGTTCTGTTTACGTGACAACCCTTACTAGTTGGCTGTGTCGGGTGGTGGTGGGTTTTAACATCACATGTATATATTTATGCGATTTAACCAATGCAAATAATACACCTCTATTTTGCTTGTGTTGCGATCGAAACGTGGTGATATTGTTATTATTTTGATTATTTTTTTCTATATACGTGGCTTTACCGAAAGACACAAAATAATATGAATTCCTGCAGTCACGAAAGCTTTAAGTCAGCATTTTACCTTGTCGTGCAGTGATTAGTAACCGTGCTGAGACCACCAAGCCTCGACACTTGAGAAGCCGATTTCGTCAAACGGGCGGCTGAAACTGAGCGTCTCAGCCGTGTGTCCATGTCTGTATCTTGAACTTCTTTCGCACCGTACGTAGCCAACCGTGCTAATCGGAAATTCAGGGTGAAATACAACAAACTGAACACAACAAGCACTTCTCGAGAAATAAATTTTCAATCTCGATGATCAAAAGGTGCATAGCTCCCAGTGGCGTTC